CTTTGAAGAACATGCTTGTCTGGGGCATGGGCAACCAGAATGAGACGAGAAATGCCACGCTCACAATTCCCAGGGTAATAGTATTGATATAGAAGTAGTCCAGGCCTGTTGGTTACAATTGATCATTCATTAGTGCTTGTTTAAAGTTCAGTTCATAATTTTCTTTCTTGTCATGCATCAAATGTTATTTTTCATATTATTGTGATCAAATACTACGAGCCCATACCAGCAAGGGAGACAAGCATTTGGCCAAGGGTGGCGCCAAATGTATATCCAGCCAACATTGCACTGCGCAGGTAACCAGTAGCTCTTTGGTAATTCTCTACTGGAATTACACTGTAAATATAGGAAAAGTAGGCAACCTCCGTGGAAGTCACTACAGCATAGTTGACCTGTTGATGGAATAGAGCAGTTGTAAAGAGGCAGTAGATCATGATAAACTCTATTAAATGCATTAACAACGGTATGATTTAAGTTGTGATAACCGGAATAAATACAAAAGCTTTTAAAAGATTTCTTCAAGGGTAAGAAAGCGATCCAAACCTGCCCGGCCCTGTGTGAAAAAGATTGTGACTAGCTACATTTAACATTAAAAATTGTTTGATGATCCGAAGGATGTAAGTGTGTCAAGTATGCAAAATAGTAAGAAATCAGGAAGTGGCAAAGTATTTTTTTTCACAGCACCTTTCAGTGTTATATATTAATCATTCTTGAAACAACAACAAGAAGTTTTAACTGACCTGAAGGAAAGTCATAGCAGGAAGACCTGGGACAAAGCACAGTAGAATATAGTTGGTGATGAGAAAGAACCCCTGTAGTATAATAAGGGGTTTGTACCTCAGGAAGTCAGTCAGGAGGAAGACGGGGAAAAGAAAGGCCAGGTAGGAATACGTCCAGATAGGAAACAGGTAGTTGGTCAGCTGTAGGAAACCACAAGCACCACAAAACTGTACTGATGATCCCATTTGTACTTCTTTTTCATGACATGCATATCGCACTGCTTATGAAAACTGATGCATGTTTATTTGTTTTGTTTTGCTTTCATATAAGTGCTGAATGTGAAACTGCAAAACAGATTTGCTCCACTATCAAAGGACCTTGGATCTATATCGGACAACCATCCATTTAAAAGCAGTGAAGTAAGGTCTGAAAATCTGTTGAAAAGTAAAAGGCCACAGGGAAAGCTAAAGGCTAGGCCTGAAACTCTGATTGTGGCTGACTCTGCTGTAAAGGATGTACAAAGGATGTGCGGTAAGAACACTAAAGTCCTCTGTTTCCTAAGGATATGGTCAAACAACCTGATTGAGAGAATTCTTCAAATTGCAGATGAATATCCAACTGTGACAAACATGGTTCTGTATACAGGGTCAAACGATGTGTCCAAACAACAGACGGAGGTTCTGAAACGGGACTTTACTGGATTATTAAATACTGTAAACTCTCTGAATGCAGCTGTATTCATCAGTGGACCTGTACCGCC